TTCTCATGACTCAAACTCATCTTTTCCTAACTTGGTTGCTATGTGTTGGACTATACTTCCCATAATCCACAGGAAGGCTATGCAAGGATGCCCTGCCTGATCCACCTTGATTCGAATGTCCTACTATCCACTTCTGTAACTCTCAGGTTAGAGATAAACTGGCCAATTTTAATCATGCTCAGATAAGCTTTTAGGAATAGACTAGCAGTTGCAGACTATCTTTCAGCAACTGGAAAGGAACATGAGCTTTCAGACTTCAAAACTGAAGAGTGATTTAAAAATTTTCAAAGAGTTTTAAGGGGCAGATTCATGCTGTTGCTGCAGCAGCTCTGGTTTCTGTGGTTTCACCCCTGTGTGAAATGGCAGCATCTACACTAGCAACACCATTAAAAATACTCCCTTAAGTCTCCAAATTGAAGAAATTCCCTTTATTTACCAACGGTGAATTATGTAACAGCATTTTGTTTTCGCCCTGAAGTAGTGTCTCTCTTAGGAGATCACATGTTAGACTCTGCTGATTCTTTAGCTGTTCAGGTGATCCCAAAATACCTGCACCAGCTTTCCCAATCTGATACCTTCTGATACCCAGAAACACTGGGTTACACTTTCCATTATTCCAAATGGAGACAGGCAAAGCTGGCTGAAGGTGGTGGGGGTTCTACTCTAACACATCTGGAGAATGCCAGGTTGCAGAAGGCTGGTCAAAACTACTGATCTGGACAAGCCACATCTTGCCAGTTGCAAAACCACCATACTGGCTCCCAGTCTGTTCAAGCACAGTTCAAAACTTTGCTCTTAAGCTAAATACTCTGAGAATCTAAAGTAGTCCTTTCTCTTGGATGAATCTGACTGACTACTGACAACTGTTATGACCCTTCTCTAGGTTTCTCCAACATTTGAAGTGAAGTGAATGGCAGCTGAGAAAAGAACATTTTGTGTCATTTTGCCTTTTCTTTGAAATATTTGTCTCTGCAAATGGCTGATCCATATAAATGCTTAATATCAGGAAAAGACTTTTAGATATATCTGCCAAACCCTTTAAGGCTTGGTTGTATTGCTGCCAGTGGGATGTTTTACACTGCTTGGATATTTTGTTCTTTAGTGCTGCTTTTCAGTTTTATTACCACTGTAGTTTTATCATTTGTAATTGCAGCTGCTTTTCCTTTTGTAGACTGCTTAAATTCTGTTTTATGGTAATCAGCTTTGAACTGAAAAGTAGAATATTACAATTTCCAAAACAAAACAAAACATTACCAGACCTAATGATCCTGAAGGCAGTGGTCACTATGCTAGATGCAAATTCCTAAGTGTATCTGCAATCTATATTTAATGCAAAAATCCTGATACATGTATGGATTTTCCTAACTGAAATGGATTTCTCATTCATTTTACTGGAAACGGTCAGCTTGCAGACAGATTTCTCTGTAGCTGTGAATTAGCTTCATCCCTTAAATTACAATGAAATGGACATAAACAGCAGATTCATATCCACATTTAAAGGTGCAAAGATCACCTGAAGTGTGATTATCACACATCTATAATTTTTGAGAATTGTCATGTATTTTCTTACTCACTGTAGGTAAGCAATCTCAGCATTACTGATCAACCTTTTTTCTTTAAGTACTACATAGCACAAGGATGGGGAGCTACTGTCTCTGACTCAATCTTACCAAGACTGGTTGTGGGTATTTGGGACACCCAGATCTGGGGATATTCCATCTCTGACTTGGAACAGGTTGCACTTCCCTATTCAAGAGTGGTGTGCAATCTTCCTCAAAGAGCAGGTGGTAGCGGTTGCCAGGAAGGCCTTTGCACAGTTTCATTTGGTGTACCAGTTATGCTGTTTCCTAGATTGGTAAGCCGTTCAGACAGTCGCTCACACCTTGGTCACCTCATGGCTTGACTACTGCAACACACTCTATATAAGCCTGCCCTTGAAGACCACCTGGAAGCTTCAACTGGGCCAGAATGCAGCAGCACGGGCAATAATGGGCATGCCTTGATACATCCATGTAACACCTCTGCTTCGCAAGCTACATTGGTTGCCAGTTTGCTTCTGGGTGCAATTCAAGGTGCTGGTTGTTACCTATAAAGACCTACATGACATAGGGCCTGCTACCTGAAGGATCACCTGTCTCCCATAGTATCTGCCCAGCCGATTCAATCTGGCAGGATGTCTTCCGGGTTCCTTTGATTAAATAATGCTATCTGTCAGGATTCTGGAAGCATGCCTTCTCTGTAGCAGTGCCCACCCTCTGGAATGAGATTCCCCCCAAGATCCAGATGGCCCCCACCCTCCTGGTATTTTGAGGGGTCTTGAAGGCCTTTGGCGAGGGTTAGTGAAGCCCACTTTGGATTGTGTGGGTTTGTTTCTCCTTCGTTCCTGTCTGGTGTTTGTCATTTTTGCAATCTTTTATTTTTGTCTATTTGTTTTTCTTATTTTTAATGCTTTTACTTGTGAACTGCCCAGAGTCATTGGGAGTCGGGCAGCATACAAATTTTGATAATAATAATAATAATAACAACTTTGTTTCAGCAAAAAAACTATGCAGAGTTAGGACCATTTAGTATTTGAATGAGAGTCTACCAAGAAATCCTAGAGCTGCAGTTTAGACTAGGAAATCAAAAAACATTCCAGGAGAAAAGAGTGGCAACCCACTTCCATACTGTTGCCAAGAGAACTGTGTGGTTGTGTCCATCTAGAGTCATGCTCAGGTTGGGAGCCTTTTGCCTTAGTGCTGTTCAACTTGTCCTTATGAGATGGGGGAATAGATCTATTCAGGAATCATTTGTAATTTTATCATGCTCAAAAATATATACATATATACAATGACACAGGTACACCCACACCATTGGTCCTTGGCTAATCTGGCATTAAGGGGTTAAAGTCTTTGAAAAGGATGGAGAAAGAATAGCCTAACATGATTACTTTGAATGTCAGATGTTAAATGATGACAAGTATTTCATGATTAGAATGAAAGCTGCAGATACACTGTTCACCCAAAATAATCTGCTTCATGAAGGACTTAAAATTTTATCTCACTGCTGTTCTAAGATAGAGCAACAGCTCTGGAACTAGTTATGGGGTCTTTGGGACTTGGAAGAACAAATAAAAACAACGCTTTGAAACATAATAAGGCTCATTAACAATGCCTAGTCTGAGAAACAGACAAAGGCCAACTAGAGGATATAAAAAATAGGAAATGTCTGTAAAGAAGAGAAAGCTAAGCAAAAAGTGTGGAAGAAAACTTTTGGAAAGATGCAAAGAAGTACTAACTCCACTATAAATGAGGAGACGCTACTCTTTAATTCTTATTTCTAACATTTTAGTTTGAAGAGTGCAGAAAATCAATACAAAATGTCAAAATGTGTAGTGGTTGTTGAAATAGTACTTTGAAATACTCTTGTGAGGGGAAGAAAAACTGAAGTCATGATGACGCAACTAATTCTTTATATGCTACATAAACAAAATTGGTTGCCTACTTACTAAAACATGTTAAAATTGGCATTACTCACACAAATGAGTAATCCTACAGGAAATTCTGCTGAATGCTGGGTTCAGTAAGGGACAACTTGAGTTTTAATTACCTGCCAAAGTTTAAACACAAAGCTCTTGCAAGGGAAAAGTTTTAAAAGTTAAGAGAAAACAATTCAGTGTCTGTTATCATTACAAGCTTTTCACTCATAGTCTTTAGACCTTTCTTTATGCAGTGCTAATTGTAAAGCAGTAAGCTATTGGGTTATATTTGTCATAGCTGGACATACCTTTTTATTTTCAGCATGTCTATTTTTATAAAGATTGCAACTTGCTAATGGTCTTTAAATACATACTTGCAGGAAAGAGATAGGGGGATACATACTGATTTTGATTATCTTCCAACCATATTAGTCAAGGTGGCAAAATTAGGGGCAGTGATCTAACTGAAGAACAAGTAATAGATATGTAGCATCATATTAGATTAACAGTGAAAAACGTAACTAGTGACCAAATAACACCCACTAAACCCAAAAAATCCTGGTTATCACTATCCAATATTTTTTAAGACAGATCACAAACAAAACGTCATACAGATGGGCCAGCTATCATGGTGAATATCTAATCATATCCAAGCAAAAACCACAATGTACTATAAGAAAACTTAAAGAACTCAGTTCTCAAATAAAAACCATCTGTATAAAACTTCTGCCAATTGTCAGTCTTGCGTTCTAAAATTTACTCAAAACCAGCTAGTCTTCATAAATACTGTGGTCATGAACTGTACAAAAAGAAAACATTAGCAAAAATAAATGTTGTGAACTAAACTCAAACACTGCAGTTATTATTCACAGACAGGATTTGTTAAAAGGCACAATACTGAAGGCTTTTAACAAATCCTGTCTGTGGGATTTTAACAAATCCCCTCAGACTAATGTTTCTTCTAACAAAATGAGATCTGGTTTCAGAAGTCGTTTAATTCCACTTCCTATGGAAGTTGGAGTAAAATGGCTTTTTTCTGTCTTCAGCCCCAGCTGCTCAAAAAGCAGTAAATGTGACTGAATGCTGAACACCAATTCATACTTACTTCAGCTTCCAGAGTTATCCCACAGAGAACCTGCTCTGTTCACAGCAGCAGAGCTAGAAAATCAGGATAATAAAGCCAAACAAAGCTGCTCGCAGAAACAGTTCTGCAAAAAGACGCTTGATCCAAGTAGGACACGTATTACTTAGATTTCAAGCATTAAGAGGGACTTCCCCCCCTTCAATTCTAATTCAGAAGCCACTTACCTAGGATTTCTTCTTCTCCCTCAACACTGCTACTACTCTGACAACAGGATTCTATTTAAAATTCAGGGCAGGAATTTTGTACATAAAATACATGTGCAAAATTCATGCCCTGAGAGAAACACCTGATTTTTTTTACTGCTGACCCAAACACACAAACACCCAGAATTGTTACAAAGCGAATTACTTTTCATCCTGTCCACAACTAACCAGTAAGAGACAGAGAGCTGCAGCCTACCTGTGAAGGAAAGGCCTTGATAGTCCTCTCTTAAAAGTCCTCTCTTGCTTTCCTTTGTGAGACAAAGTTCCCAGTCCCCTGAATATACAGTCTAGTGGAGACCAGCTCCACTGAAACTCACCCCTCTCCTTCTCTGAAGCAAGTCACTAGAGACAGCTGGTTTTATTTTAGCCCTGCATGAGCACCATGGCACTTGGCACCTATTTTTAGGGGCTGAGGAGTGCAAGGCCGGTGCCTGAGTCAACTACTTGTTCTAGAAATCTGCTAGTAAAGACCATCTTATAGTGCCTTTTGTCATCTCTCTATGCTTGGCGTAACAGCACTTGTGCAGTCAATCAAGTGTTCACTGACCCAGCCTTCTCCTTGTGAGGTAGGTGTTTTTAGGGAAAAGAAACACAGACCACCCTAGTCATCACGCCCATGGACCCCCCCCACCCCCAACTAACACTCCTTCCCCTAGCTCTTCTCTGCATTCATTTGATTAATTCATGAGGCAAATATGAGAAACCTATTTCAAGGAAATGGAACACTGTGAGAAACCCAGAAAAGCTGAAGACGTTTAGCCAAATTTTTCAGTGCTCTTCAAAAGTGGAAAAGCGAGGTTTTAAAAAATAGGTGACAATTAAAGATTAACTATATGAAGTTGGGAGGAAAAGTTTGCTGAAGCTTAGGCCAAGAAGTGGGTTTTAGCATCAGACTCGTTGTTGGTATAGTATGTTCACTCATACTAGCAGGATACTCTTCACAATCTCCTGGTTCTGTCAGGCAATCTGGAAAGACTGATGACCCCAGCCAAAGCAGCAAAAAGGGCCCCCATTCCTTTGTCTGAATGAACTCTCCTGAGTGGGGGGGAGAGGGGTAATTCAATTTTAGTTTTGATATGAGTAATTTAGTTTTTCATAGGAATTCCACAGGCTGTCACCTATCATTAGGTTTCACCTGTAGCTAAGTTTAAAATGAATTGGGAACTACCTGATGATGTGAAACATCAGAAAAATATTGAGGGAAGACCTGCAACATTTTATCTCCCGATAGGAAAGCCAAGCTGCTTTTCCCCAAATAATTACCAGTGAAAGAGGGTGAGGGTGGGGAACTTATTTTATATTTGCTGAAATGAAAAAGTGTGTTCAAAACAACCAAAGGGAGGTGCAAATGACTGCAGGCTGCTGGGACTTTTTATCTTTCTGTAACACCTGAATCTCTCTCCTACCTTAATTCCTTTCCTGTTCAGTTACTGATACCCCTCCCTTCATCTTTGTTCCCCCACTTATCTTCCCTTCCTTTCCCAGTGCAGCTCTGCTTCGTTCCACCTACTGTACCTCTTGTTTATTTTCCTTCTGTGATGTTTCTGCTAGAAGGAACTGTGTGTGTGAACTGGCAAGTTTCTATGTAAGACAATGGTTCATAAGGATGAGAGAGAATGGTAGGTATATTTTATATAGAAGACTAATTGACTTTATAAATGGAATAACTTATATTTAGGCAATTAATTATAGTCAGTAGTTATTAATGTACAGTAATTAACCATAATTTTTGTCCTAGATTTTAAATTTCCAGAAGTAAGCTTCTAGCAGATTAGAAGCTATACTATACACACACACGCATGTCCAGATTCAGGCATGCTACGCAATACATTTATTGGAATAGGGAAATTGAGGATGGCTTCAGTTGGTGTTGGCCACCCAAGGTTGACAAAGTAGACTAATTCACAGGAATTTTGTCTGGATTCATAGGGTCTTTTTCTGTCTATCCTTTTGTTAGTGGGAAGGACTCATTTTTAATTCACAGTTGTCTTCCTTTTGGATGACTATATGAAGGAAAAGATGAACTATTATGTTAGAAGTAGGCATTCCTCATTTCCAATGTGAAACTTATTTTATACACCAATCTGCATGAATACCAAGTGTGCTATAAAAAGAAGAGCACTGATTCCAGGGCAGTTTTGAAAATTCAGTTTGTTTAATTTTAGAACCACTTCATTCATAACGTTTGTTCTTACACAGGGTTAAAAAAATACTACAAAATACTACAATGAATGTAGATCACACAAACATGGAAGCTGCTGCTTCCAAACACAGGGTATACAGTATATTACAAAAGAACACACTGCTACATTTTCACACATAAAAATGACAGGATGTGTCACCAGAAGTTTATGCTACTCACTTGTCAGCGTTTAGCTCAAAACAGGGCCTAGCTCTTCTTCAGTTGGGAGAAATTGAGGCAACTGCCTTGGTAGCAAACATGGTGTGTCATGAAAGGGCCAGAAATATATGGATGTGTTTATTAGCATTGTTTTTTCATTGCCAAGAGGGAATGTGCTTCAGAACTTTTTCTGACTCAAGTGCAAAAATAACTTTATCAGACTAGAACACTATGCACCTTGTGGAATGGGGGTGGGGGCAGAAGGGAAGATGCCATTTGCTGTTTTTACCTCAGCAAAGTATCATAGGATGGGTACTACTAAATTAAATGGCTTGTTTCTTTGTCACATTCTATAAACAGAATCCAGGCAGCAAGGCAGGACTATAGAAATGTAGGCCAGTACTTTCAAAACTTAAATTATTGGGCAGAGAGTAGAAGAAGCAGTAGAGGATTTCTTGACTGAATCCAGAGTCCCCAACTCCCTGATTTTTCCAAATCGTGCCCTCAGAACAATAACTAAGGACAGCAGTGCAAACAGTAAGATTCTCCTCTGCCCTTCTGGCTAAGCAAACTCCCGTAGAGTCAACTTTCAAGCTTCCTAGCAAAGTCTGTGTGATAAAATGAATGAAGTGTCATCAGCAATATTATTGAAAGAGTTATTAAAAATCTGCATTTCCTAAAAAGAATAAAATAAAATGCTAGTGTCACCAGGGTGCAGGGTTGATTATATTCCATTAACCCAAAGGTATCCTGAGATTTCTGAGAATGAGAATATTGCCCTGAAAATTGCAGAGAGCTCAGAACCTAATTGGTAATGTATTTCCTCCACTGATAAAATTAAAGAGAGTTATGTGTTTCCTCAATTGATTAAGGGAATTATTCCCAGGGAATTGCCATTATGTGGAAATGCCTGCTGACTGCCAATTTATAACCCAGACAGCTACCTCATGAAGTACCTGTAAATTGGCTGTATCAGAGCTGAAGCAGGATACATGGTAGCACTCTTACTTCCAAAATGAAATACCAGCTAAGTACCATCCATGAGATCTTTGGAGTAGCATATCAGTACTTATTTGTCCCATGTAGGATGGCTTTTATATTTTTCAATCGACCAAATAAGCAGAATCTTCCTGGGGAACTTTCATTCCACAGGATGTATACTATTTATCCCTTCATCCCTGTAGTATACGGAATTGACTGGAAGACATTGTCATGGAAAAATCAGCTAGTGATCATGTACATGCCATTTAGGATCAAATGTTCACCTAAAAGTCAACCTAAATCCCATCATTGGGAAGAAGAAGTGGCTGGTCCAAAGATGATTACAAAGACTATTTATATTTCCAGTAGAAAGAATGCATGGGGTCATCACAAATCTCCACGGGTAATTGTGTCTGGTAAATAGTGCCTATAAGCAAGAATCCTGAAGACATGTACACTTTATATGATTAACCTATGAAATCCTACTTCAATGAACATGGGACATCTAAGGGTTCCATAGCAGATGTACTTCACTTGGGAGTGTACTCTACTGTAAAGTAATATTGGGGCCTCCCTTGCAGAAAGAAGGGTAAGATAACAACCAATAAAACTACTACTTTTCCTCTCATGTAAGAGCAACTACAATCTTGGAATCTCTTAGACTAGGAGGGATCTCCTTGTGCAGCATGAAGCACTTTGATCTGTTTCTCTGCAAGTATGCAGCAGAGAATAAAAGAGCCATTCAGAGCCCTTTTTATGCAATTAGCACCTTTTGCCCATTGAGTGCTATACAGTCTAGAAGGTTTCCTTTCCCTGGCATAATACAGTCCTGTTCCCTCCTGAGTACAGCCTCAAAGCCATGGTGATTTGTATTTGTTGACTCCCACAATTATCCTTGAATCCTGCTACCTGCATAACCCCTGTTTACCTCTGTGCAGCATTTTTTGTGGGCTTTAGCTCATCCCTAAGACTGACCAGGATTTAACTTTCCTCAAGATATCAAAGAATTTTATCTAATATACTGTATTTTCCTAGAATTACCATTCTGGATCCTAGAGCAGAATATCCCATTTTTCCTTGCAATTTTTGTTGCCTCATTTGCCCGGAGAGATTCATTTGCCCAATACACCCAAAGAGAAGGCTCTCTCCATAGTTAATCCCTTGTTCAGTCCAAAGTCTTTCCATATGTAGCACTGCATGATGTGTAAAGTTGTAAGGCCTTGCAGGAGGCTAGTTCTTATGTGAATTGATGTTTTTGAAATTAATTATGATTGGTTAGGCAGGTAGTTTAGAGCACTGGAAGCCCAGGAGAACCACTTAGTTCCTTTTAAATCTATTTTTGTACAAAATTATTTTGGTTCCGTGATTCCTAATAACCAATACGTTCTGAATTTATTTTGCCAGAGCCACAATTAGATATATCATTCAGAGACCATTTCTGTGTAAGAGTGTTCAGAAGGGTGTAGAAGCAGCTTGAGGTTTGATTTTTGTTTGGTTTTTGTTTTGCTCTTTGTGAAGTCATAATCTAACCATAAATATAAACAATATGACCTTTAGCAATGAATGGCTGTATCTGACCCAACCAATATCAAAGATGTGTTATACACACTTACATCTCTCACCTTTGCTTGAGGCAATTAAAGCCTGAAATAAATAAGGCAATGAACTACATTATTTAATTGTTCGACAGTCTTTTCTTATATTTATGGAGTGAGAACCACAGTACTATGAATAACATAGATCTGTGCTCTGGATGTGTTAAACAGGAACTAGTCTTATGCTCAAAGATCCGTACTTTGATAATTGTACAATAAGTGAACAAAACTGACCAAACTGTAAATGGATAATAAATCTATCAGTTGCAAAACTGTGAAATAAAGTAATCTGGAAAGTCCATTTCTATGTCTTGTGCACATAATACATCAGGCAGGAGGATTTTAAAAATTCTAATCTTATTTACAAACATGTCAAGGAGAAAACACTGCACAC